TGATCTGGCGTTCGCGACGATACCTCACATGCATGGTGCAACCGCTGTTTACATACTGGCACAGGGTCAATTCTTGCACACGCAAGAGGGTACTTTTTTTTTTTTTTTTTCTTAAGTTATTTTGATTTTTTTTAACTGTACACTGTCCCTTTCATTTTTTTACATGAAAGCCCATCGCCGGCCGAAAAAAAACTATACCAGGATGATGCCTGCAGCTGTAGGCATCATCCTGGTATATTCACTCAAAGTCCAGTGATGTACCAGTACGTCACTGGTCCTTGTGGGTATATATACGGTGTTCTTTTTTTTTTTCTTTTTTTTTTTTTTTTTTTTTTATGCAGCCTGTGGGCTGAATGGAAAAAAAGAGAAGAAATCTCTGCCAGAAAAAGTGTGTGGTGGTATGCTCGCCATTAGAATACCTTCCTGCATGCACCCGCTTCTAATGGTGGGCACACATGAAATTTGCCAACAAATATTATAAAATAGATATGACGAAGAATAGGGGCCATCCACCCACTGGCCACCCCAGGCCCTCATGCTTCGGCATATATGCTTTTTTTTTTTTTTTTTTTTTTTAACTGCGGATGAAAAATCTCATCCAACAATTCCTGTTCCTGTCAGAATAACCAGGTCAGTGCTGCAGCTGAAAGCATTCCTGCAAAGAAAGCAGCAATGGTTAACAATAAAACAGTAAAAGTGTAACAGTAGAACAGTAACAACAATGACAACAACAGAAAATACTACAACTATTTTTGTTTTTTTTTTGGGAATTTGAACTTTTTATTTTATTTATTTATGTTAAACTTATTTTTTTAAAACAGATTGTAGTGTCTCTCCAAATGCGAAAGCCAGTTTCCCGACTATGTAACATCTTTCAAGACCCTGTGTATTTATGTACCCTGAACTGTGCCGTGCTGTACCCTATTCTAATACTCCACTAATGTATGGTAGCGACGGAAGCAGTCCACGATGCAGAGGCCAAGTTGGCCAGGACCGGAGGGGCAAAAAAAGCATCTGTCATGCCTAATTTCATGTCTGCTACAGACACATCTTTTTTAGGTGTTCCTCTGGGTTAGGGTACCAGGAATGGCATCAGGAAAATGCCTCTCATGCAGCTGGCTGACTGCATCTGGGTTGGGGGTTTGGGCCACAGCACCTTCTGGTTACAAAAGGGCAGTGGTGATCTCTTCCTGGAATTTTAGGAAGGATCCACTATGTCCAGTTGCTTTGTAAAGAACAAAGCGTTATATATAGCCAATTGAAATAAATAAACAGACACTTTTTTGTATCAGCGTCTGGCTTTTTGGGAAACTAAGTACAGCTTCATCATCTGGTCGTTGAAGTCCACCCCTCCCATGTTAAGGTTATAATTGTGGACACAGAGGGGCTTCTCAAAAACACCAGCTGCCGTGGTAATTTGGATGGCTGTATCTGCGTGAATGGAAGACAGGACGAAAACACCCCGTTTTTTCTTCCACTTCATTGCGAGCAATTCCTAATTTCTCAAGCAGGCTTTTTCCCCCTTTCTAAGACGGGTATTTACAAGCCGTTTGGAGAAGCCCCGGCGATTAGGTCGCACAGTGCCACATGCGTCAATTCCACAATTGTACAAATGTCTAAATAGTGGCATGCTTGAATAAAAATTGTCCACTTATAAGTGGTACCCCATATGGGAAAAGGGTGACACCAAGTCCCAAACTATCTTGCCACTGCTCCCCATGTAGTCTGGGCATCCGGGGGGTTCCACGTGACTATATTTTCCCTCGTAAATCCAAAACCTATATATGTAGCCTTTTGCCCTCTCACAGCTCTTCTACATCTTGGCCCCGTATCTGGCACGCTTGCTGGGGATAAATTGTTTGAATGCAAGGCGGCCAGAAAAATTAATGAGGGACTCATCAACGCAGATGTTTTACTGGGAAGTATAGACATCTGAAAATTTCTGATTAAGGTGATTTACGAGGGGCCGAATTTTGTGAAGCCGGTCAAATTCAGGGTCACCCCGAGGACGACTGAGTGTGTTGTTGCTGAAATGCATAAAATGCATTATATTCTCATATCTAGTCCTGGCCATACCAGCAGAGAACATGGGCATATGATGAATGGAGTCTGTGGACCAATACAAACGCAATTGACTTTTTTTTAGTAATGCCCATGTTGAGGGTTAGGCCAAAAAAAACTTTAAATTTGGAAACCTTAATGGGTTTCCATGTGAATGGTCTGGCAAGATTTGAATTTGGGTTGGTGGCGATAAACTGTTGTGCATATAAATTGCTTTGATCCACAATCAATGCATACAATGAAAAACAGCTCCTTAAAATCAAGGGGAGTAGTTAAATTTGCTGTTTCCACCTGAATTCCGGGTTGGGCAGTGAATGGGGGAAGTACGGGTGCTGCAGAATTTGTGGGCTGCCAATCTGGATTTGCAAGCACCTCGGAAGGACACTATGGGCTTAACAGGCCTGTGTGCGAATTCTTGGTGGCCGCGTGACACTACCTGTGCTCGCCACCGCACCAGCTTGTACTGCACTTATGGGACTTGCCACGTCACCAAGTGATACTGCAGTGCTGGTATGAAAAAGATCAGGATGTACTAGGCCACTGGTGCTCGCCGGTTCACCAAAAGGTAGAGCGGCACTAGTACTGGCACTCTGCTGCATATGAGAGTCATCATGTGTTTGTAACATCTCAGCAATCTGGAAATGACGTTGGGTATGCCTGATCTTAGCAGGGACCTCTTCTCCGTCGTCTGAGCTATCTGTCAGGTGCCGCTGCTGTCTACAGGTTCGCATTCTGAGGCTGATTCTGTCAGTGAGTCTTCCCCTTCACTCTTACCTGAAATGCTCAGAATCTTGTAGGCCTCTTCACTAGTGTACCTTTGGTTGAACATTTTGGCTATCAGAGACTGCTTAAACCTCTACAAAAAATTTACCGACAAGTGCTAACAGAGATCAGGCCTGATTCTGTGAACACTGCAGTTTTGTGTGTAATGTGTCAAGTGACAGTGATCATCTACTGACACTGCACTTGCTGGGGGGTAAATATAGCAGCTGAACGCAGGTGCTGCCAGGTATCGGGGCTGATCCTGATAACGCTGCGTTTTTGGGGACACTATACTAATGTGAACGCTGGTATAGTGCTGATCTGATCAAAGATATTGATCTGTTCAGACACTATCCTAGCAATGGAGGTTTAGTGTGCGAGTGAGCATGTTCCTGGCAATCAAGGGGTTAAATGTGAGTACTGGTGTACTATTGGGCAATCTGACGCTATCTGGGAGGGACGCTAACCCTATCGGAAGTCGCCAGCGACACTAATACAGTGACCAGCAAAAAAATCTGCACACTGTAAATAATGACACTGGTGACAGGGCAGTGAAGGGGTTAACTGGTCGGCGATCAGGGGGTTAAATGTGACCTAGGTGTGTTCTAACTGTAAATGTGTGCTGTTTTACTCACTTTTACTGTGTCGTCTTCTCTCTCTGGGATGGAATGTGTCCAGGCAGAGAAGAATGACATCATATCCTTTCCTGTGTAACTGTCAACACAGGACAGGATAGGACAAGGACCGATCATCCGACTTCGGACGGACATCACTGACCGAAATCGAATGATTGATCCCTCGGGGATCGAATCGCGACACCCACGGGTCGGCGGGGGTGCGCGTGCGCTTCCTGGCCCGCGAAAATAGCGGGAGCGTGAATCACGTTTATATACATGATTCTGCACACAGGGCCCGCCCTGTAGCAGTAAATGTACTGCGGGCGATCCCCTAGTGGTTAAAAACTGCACACAGAATAATCTTACCATATACTAAAACCCTAATAAACGATCGGTATTTATTCTCCCTGTGACTTTTGGTGCTTGGAAATGCACATCCTCGTATCTTGTTTAGGTATATAATTTCATTTTTTTCTCATAGTCGTTTTGACTTGGTTTTTATTGAGTTTCATAATGAAATTTGATTGGCTGTGAACAGTGACATGCAATATAGTAAGTAATATCTTGCATACACTGGTGTAGCTGAAACTTTTGCTGCTGACATTTTTTTTCATGAAAGGTTTGTATGACAAAAATTAGATTTAATGCCGGCAGTGAGCAGTAATGTAATCAATGCCAGAACAAGTTAATTTGGCACCTAAGTTCAAGATGTCAAAATGCATAAAGCACCCAGGTAGCCAAATTGGTGCAGGGTGCAAAAATTATAGTCTTAGTGAACACCATGTATAGAATGCCCATAGTGTTACTGTTACCATGGTTGCCATTGTTTTGAATTGACCAGTTTTGGAAAATAATAGCTGGCTGCAGATTTGAATGGAAGCATAACTTTATTACATTTAAAGTGGACCTTAATTTAAAAAGTGGAAATTTTGCTCTGTTATAGGGAACTTTTGGAAATGTAACCAGTACCCTGAAAAACATTCCTTCCTGACATGTTATTGTGCCTAGGTACTTCTGTGCCTAAAACATAATAGCTGTATATCCACAGTGTAAGATCATCTAAGGTATTGCTTCCTCTGGCTGCTAGTCTTACTGAATTTCGAGTGAGATTTTGGTTATATGTGCTGCTTATTATCCTTTCTGGAGAGAAAGCTGTATCTGTGGACCTTCAATGTGAGGAGGGGACCTCTTTTATTCACTCTGTGTTGCTATATACCTCTCCTGGAATAGGGCTTTAAAGTACAAAATGGCTTGTGTATTCATTATGTAGGTTATATATCTCTGTAGCAAAAGGTTTGCCTTACAAAATGGTGGTTTGAACCTATGCAATTTTTAAAGTTTTTTAATGGTATTATTTTGTATAATTTTAGAAGACTCATGAATATTTAATAAGGGTACAGTGTTTTATTCAGAAATTATGCAGTTTCATATTATGCTTGTAGACTTGTATATCCCTACGTTTTTGCTTTGCACATCTAAAATGCATATTATTTTTTTTTAATCACTTTTGTGAGAATAGACTATGGTTTCTTTTCCTGATTTATCCTATTATGTTTATAGATCAGAGAACTTTACTGTGCTTGTCTGGAAAAGAAAGTTTGGGAAACTGAAGATTACATTTCAGCTTTGCAGCTTCTTAGGTATGTTTATACCATTGTATACACCTTACTTCCTTCAACCTGTAAGTTGCTTTTCTTTTAAGATGTTCCCCTCAGAATATGACATATGTACAGTAGCTTTGCTTTCTGAACTCCTTTGTCCTCCATAGCAGTCAGTGTGAATGCAAGTCATTGAAAGCAATTTAAATGCAAAACATTACCCTCAAAGCATGCTTCACTATATTGTTTCACAATTAATAGCAGGTAAGGCTGGAAAAAAGAAAAAACTCCATGAAGTTCAACCTCTGTTTATAAGTGGAAGTTTTATATGTTTGATCCAGAGCAGGGGTCTGCAAACTTAATAAACAAAGGGCCAGTTTACTGTCCTTCAGACCTTAAGCCTTTTATAGATAGACCGAATATCGGCCGGTTCAACAGAAACCAGCCGACATTTGGCCTGTGTGTATACCAGCCTTTCCATCAGAAGCTGGCTGTACAGGAATGCTTAAAAATCAGCATTCGATTGGAATCTGATCAGTGCTGACAACCAATGGCTGTAAGCTCTGACCAGTCGGATAAGTTAGTACAGCGAGCTCCTCCCAAGCTCTTCAGTTGTTTTCGTTCAGCCCACTGGATTGAACTAAAAAATACTGATAGTGTGTACCCAGCATCAGAAGAGCTGGGCTGTTGCTAGTGGGAATAGGAAATGCCCCATCTTTGGTATTATGGGAGGAGTAGTGCCCCGTTGTTGTTAGTGGGAGGAATTGTTCTTCATTATTGGTTTTTGGAGGAATAGTGCCCCATTGTTGGTGTCAGTGGGAGGTATAGTGCCCCACTGTTTTTCAGTGGGAGGTATAGTGCCCCACTGTTTGTTTCAGTGGGAAGCATAGTGCCCCATCATTGGTATCAGTGGGAGGAATAGTGCTCTATCATTGATAATATGGGGGAGGAATAGTGACCCTTCACTGGTATGAATAATGCCCTGTTGTTGAAATCAATGGAGGGAATGGTGCCCCAAAGGCCGGATAAGGTCAAGCAAAGGGCCGCATCTTGCCCCCGTCCAAAGTTTGGAGACCACTGATCCAGAGGAATGCAAAAAAGTGATGGACAGTGATGTAGTTGTGACATGCCTTCTGATTTCTACACTTCCACCAGCCATACCTGTCTAAAATGTACACAACATATTGCTACACTTCCTACATGTACAGAGATACAGCCACAGGAACACAGTCAGGTCCTGGGTACTGAGGCATACTCATTCTTGCAATCATACATGCAAACCCTAATACCTTCTACATCCTTCCTTGAGTAATCCATCTGGGAGTCACCCACATTAGCAATGACAGATCACAGGCATAAGAGAGCTTGGGACGCAAGAGCTGACTGACACGTGTTCTGCTAGTGGCCTACAGGAAACTCCAAAGACCACTCTGAGTGATAGATGTTCCCTTGTCCCAGAGCAAGGTTCCAAAATGACACCACTTCTCTCCTCTAACTCTGGCTCCCTGTCAGGCATGTACCATGTGGCCTATCTTACAAAAGCCGATTTTTTTGACACTATGTCTGAATTCTTCTGAAAACATTAGGCACCCCTAGAACTTTTTTCCAGGAGCCAACAACTGAGAAAAGTGATGGGGATGTAGTGCCTTTAGTGGAAGCTGTGGAGTATTTCATCCCCTGCATTTTATATGTGCTCTACTGTCGACACACTGATTGACATGATACACTCAAGTCTTTGACAAGAAGCATCTAATTTTCTACAACAGGAACAAGCCCTTATGTGCACTAAGAGGCTGGCAAAGAAAGACTTTTCCCATCCATGCACAAATTGAGTGTGCACTACATGAGGATTGGCTTAATCCTAAAAGGATATAAACTCCTAAGCTTGTTACTGAAATGTATTTTATGGAAAAGGACTTTAAGAAATAATGGGCTGTTTCAGTAGTAGATCTTGCCTTTTAAATCTTAAGAAGATGTTACCTCTTTTAAGGATTCAGTTTATAGGTGTTTCGAAGCCCTCTTAAAGGCCTCCGCCGGTATAGCACTGCAGCTGGCAATTGCTTCCTTGTCTATTTGCCAGACTATTGCTAACTGGACAAAACAAGTGACTAGAGAACATGAACTTGCCTTGTAATTTGTCAAGTCTCTAGAATGTCTCTTATATCTGTGCACATGATCTTGTGTTGAAAAACTTGGTCTGCTGAACCTGATTGGAAGAAGTGGCTTATACGCATGCCCTTTGTCAGTGAATGACTGTGGGGGAGTCCCCTAATAAATACACCAAAGATGTCATGGGGGGAAAAGATGCTCCTAACCCATAAGGTGCCCCCTCCTAGCTCTTCCCTGAAGCATTGCGCCCCACACTCCACCAGCAAACTTGCCTATAGCACCTTACAAACAACAGCTCTGTTTGCTGCCCTGGGATAGTTTCACTCTGAGGATCATTGCCCCTGTTCCAAAACCAAACAACAAGTGGTGATGCAAGGCCCAATCTGGACCTGAAGTACTTACATGTTTAAAAATGCCATATAGAATCTTTTTTCCTCTATCTGGGGATTCCCATTTTGGGTGTCTGGGCAATCTGCAAACAAGAGACGGCCTCAGGGCCAGTGTGCAACAGACAGTGAAAGTTATTCAAGACTTCTGGTTGGTCCTCAATCTCAAGAAGCCAACCCTGGTACAATTGCACTTCATGGAATATCTGGCCTTCATCCTGGACATGGTCCTGGCAGAAGTGTTCCTGCCTCAGGAAATGCTTTAGACCGTTTGATCCAATGTATGGGTGTTGAATGCCCTACAATGCCCCTCTATTCGCTTCTACATAAGGGTGCTGGGGTTGATGAGGAAGTTCCATATGCTCAGTTTCATTCAAAACTTTCAACTAAACATGCTAACAGCATAAGACAAAAGGACTTTGTCTTTGGATCACCACATGTCTCTGAATACCAAAACCAGGTTAGTCTTGGAATAGTGGCTGTCCAGCCCGTCATTGAAGTTGGGGAAATCCTTTCTCTCTAGGGTCCAGTCTGACAACAGCACAACAGTGGCATGGGTAAACTATCAAAGCGGTACCAGAAGTCAGGCTGCTCTTCGAGAAGGACAGATCAATCAAATTTGGACAGAACTACATGTTTCAGTTCTGTTCGTGGTGCACACTCCCAGCAGGGAAAAATGGCAACCAGACTACTTAAGCCGCCAACGACTGGATCCTGGAGAAGCTGCCCTACACAAATGATGTTTCACCCTTTTTGTCTTTGGTGGAAGATGCCAAACGTAGGTCCAATGGTGTCCAGATTGAACAATAAACGAGACAAGTTTGTGCCTTCGGGTTAGATGCCTTAATCACTTTATGGAATTATTTCAACCTGACTTATGCTTTCCCCCTCAAGCTCTTGCTTCGTCTGCTTACGATAATAGAGAGGGAAGGCATTGCAGTGAATCTCATACATACCCAGACTCCTGGCAGACTCTCCATGGGCTTTACCAGATTAATTCACAACTTCATTCTGAAGGTCCCATGTGCCATACTGCTTCACAGTTGCAGGCTTTGCCAGCTTGGCTGCATAAAACCAAGTCCTGAAGTACAGAGGTCTTACAGACTCCGTGATTACCACTTTGCTGAACGCCAGAAAGCCCTCTTTTCATAGGATTTGCCATTACAAATGCATACTTTGCTTGGTGTTAAAAAGGAGTTTCATCCCAGGAAATACTCCATGGCTCGAATTTTATCCATCCTTAAGTCAGAACTGGACAACTCCCTTATCTTAAGGGCTATTAAGGGTCAGGTTTCTGCCTGGGCAGTGCTCTACAGCGACTGCTAGCTTTCTTACTTCTTTTTCAGAGCCTTTGTGCAAAGGGGGCTTAAATTGTTCCACCAGTACAATCCCTGCTATTTCCATGGGTCCTCAGTCTGGGGTTATCAGTGCTTCTCTTTCCACTCTTTGAACTTGATCGGGGTAATTCTCTGCCTCTCTTGCCATTCAATTTTGCTTTTTTCATGGTTACCATATTAATTAGGAGTGTGTCTGAGCTTGTAGCTTTGTCTTCTAAGGAACCTTTTCTTGTACTGCTTAAGGACAAGGTTGTTTTGAGACCACCTTCTGCCATCTCCAAAACATCCTAAGCAGTTCTTCTCCACTGCCTGGGTGGTTAGGGATGCGTGAGTCTACCTTGCCTCCAGGGCCTTGATTCGCCTGGTTCTTGTTCCATGCAGGCTCTCATAAGGGACAGGCTACCTCCCAAACCACAATTGCTAAGTGGATTTGACAAATCATCACTTGGGTGTACAACCTGAAGGGTAGAGTTTCCTGTGAAGGCCCACTCCACCAGAAGTATCTGTGCTTTTTGGGCTTTTCAGCATTGCGTCACAGTTTCCAGGGCTCTAAGGTAACCACCTGGTCTTCTGCTCCTGTACTTGCTAAACCAGGTGAATGTTCAGACACTGATGGATACCAGTCTTGGTCAGAAATCCTACAGGCTGCACTGTAGGGGCCATCTTAGGTATTCCTCATTTTGTTTTATTAAGACGATCATTACTTATGAACCTGTTAACTGTTGTTTGCTGTTGCCCACCCCTCATGGGATTGCTTTTGAGCATCTCAATAGGCTAACAATGAACTCTCCTATTTTCTGCAATGTACGATTAAGAAAACAGGACTTTTTACTGAACTTTTTGGGCTAAGTTATAGGATTTGGGTCCACCTCTGGTTTCACTCCAATATTGCTTGCTGACAAACCTGGAGCAATGCTAGGAGTGGGAGGGGTTATGTGGGTAGTGTAGAGCTTTGCTACATGGCTGATGGGTTCAATTTCTGTCTGTAGCCTGACCTGTTCTCGATTATCTCTACCTCTGGATCCAGGAGAAAAAAAGGCTCCAGACACCGAAGTGTAAAAGCTGTATCTCTGAAAGTTTAATATACAACAAGAAATGTTATACAGAAACTCAACAGACGTTTCCAGTCAGGATAACAAATGAAACATTCCACTCTTATCAGTATAGTTACATGAAGAAACAAAACTGCAAATAGCTGAGGGATACCATATAAGGTGCATCCATTTGCAGGGAAATGAAGGCAATTCCTGAGAAACAAAACTAAAACTGTTACATTTCCAAATGGAGGCATTATACAAAATGGATGCCAGTTAGATATATTTCCTTACAATGACAGTGTCCAATCACCTGGCAGTGGTGCCTAACCCAACAGTCTAAAAAAGTAGCTCATGTGTTGTACTCCAAAAAAAGTGATTTTGCAGGTAATTCAAAAATCCTGCTTTTCTGATTTATAATAAATTGGTCAATTAAGACCTGATGTATAAAATATGCCAAAGGTAACATTTTCTTTGTCACCTGCAACCAGAGTCATTTTTCAGTCAGTCGTTTTTCATTTTCCAGTTCACAGGTTTGGAAATCAAGGAAACTGGCTGGTTATAGGAAACAAAGTTTTAACTTTGTTTTTAGGGAAGTTACAGAATGTTGTTCAATTTCATTTTCTGTCATGTATTGCCACACTTTACAGTTGGCGGAGTTAGTTTCTATATCTGTCCTGGCATAACCTTTGATTTCTATTGTAAATGTTTATATAAATGTTTTGACAATCTATAGAATCCAGGAATAATTTTTTTGAACTAGGAACTTTGTGACTGTGAGTTGAGCAAGCATCTGTTCTAATGGCAAATACAGAGCTTTAGGCTGGTCATAGATGGCCTTTTCAGCAGGGACTGGCCGAATTTCGATCCATGTGTGACTGCTGTCACTCAACAGAAATTGATCTAATATATTCGACTTTTGCTGAACGACCTATTGGAAAATAGCCTCTCAGTCATGGGTTGCAGGCAAGAGCTGCAGCACTGATCTGTGTATTCTAACAGCGGGGGGAGTCCTCCACTGTCAATAACACAATAGTACAGCAGGGAGGATTCCCTCATGCACCTAGAATGTGTGAATGGGGAAATCGGTTCAGGTTTTTGTTCGTTCAGCCTGCTGATTGAACACAAGAAAAAAAATGAGCCATGTACGGCCAGCTTTTGGCTGTAATGATGAAGTACTTTGACCCAGTCGCATATAATAAATGTAATCAGCGAATGATTGATTGGCAGAGTGGAAATCATTTTAGGCTAATTAAATTGTGAGGGGATTATAGCTGTCATAATTGGGGAAGAGTGCTCTTGTAGTAAATGATTATGGAAAAAAACTTAGAAGGCAGTAGCAATCGATGAATTGAGAATAGTAGACAAATATTAAAAAAGCAATGTCATTTTTAACTGCCTGGACATCGAATCCTTTCATACAAGTGCTGAGACTTCGGAGCAACATGCGGTAATCTCAATCCCCATAATATTTCAAGCTCACACTAGTACTTTCAAAATCTTTGAGTAGCTTGAAAAGGCTCAGTTTGGATTGAAATGTTAACTGTAATTTTCCATTGGAGAGTTCCCCTTTATTCTAATTTCAGTAAATATTGCATTTTCTGTGCAAATAGCAATGATCCCTTTTTTTTTTTTTTTTTTTTTTTTTTTTTTTTTTTTTTTGAGGAGGGGGAGGAAGGTTGAATTTTAAACCCGAATAGAGATTCTAACCGTTTCTGCTTTGACCAAACCTAGGTAACAAAAAAAGTCTTGGCTAGCATTATGCTTTTTTTTCTAAATTAATGCTCAAGCTATAAAATAAACACTGAGCCAAGTATGTCCAGCTTAAAGTTCGGCCATAGATGGTTTGAATCTCGTCCGTTTCAGCAGAGACCGGCTGAGATTCAAATCATCTATGGGCAGGTTGCTTGTATTCGATTTTTGTACGACTTGCGTACAACCAATTTTACTTGCAATTATTGCCAGCGACTATAGCCGCTAGCAATAATCACTGTGTTCTCCCAGCAGAAACTGCTCTCCCCCATGCCCCCCTGCCAGGAGAACACAATAGCTCAGCAGGCGTGTTTCCCCCATCAACACTGACGTGATTTTCTTTTGCCTGCAACCCAGGTTGGAAATTTGCATAGTCTATGGCCAGCTTAAGTCTGCAAGGAAGCACTAGAACCACTTACTACCTGGCTCTGTTAGCAAGGTTTATCCTTACCTCCTGTGCTGCTGCTAAAACTATACCTGTTTTAAGGGAAAGTGTCCATCAGCAACTCTGATAGGCATAAAAGTACCATTCTTTAGTAGGGTAGATGAAGAGTAGAACCCCTGTGAGATTTGTATGTGTATATTTGTTTCTATTGCAGATTTCCTTTCTGGTGAAATTGCTTTCTGGACAGGAATTGAGGATAAATCTCTCTAACGGAGCCCCCAGATAGCTGTAAAAACTCAGCAATGGTTCTAATCTTAGATTGTAAGCTCCAAGGAGCAGGGCCATCCTAAGCCTCTTGTATTGAACTGTATTGTCTCCCTTTAAATTGTAAAGCACTGAGCAAACTGTTGGCACTATATAAATCCTGTATAATAATAATAATGCTTCTCCATTCTATCCAAAAGTATAAAAAAGTTTTTGGGTGACACATGTTTTAAGTTGAACTCCAGGCAAACAGCATAAAACAATTGAACGTACATATGAATTTTCACCTTTTAAACAATAGGTAATACTCTCCAGCTAGTCTTTTGATCCATGTATGCGTGACAAAGCACAACCCAGGTCCCTAGCCTACAGTGCAGTTAAGTAGCACAGTTTGGTCAAATAACCTATCACACTGTTGATATAATTTCTGTGTTCTCACCTCTTGTTTACAGTGTTACTTAGAGTACTGTGGATCCTGATTGACTCTCGGTGCTTACCCTACCTTTCCTAGTCTTGACAATACTGTATAAAGAATTACAGAAAGAGAAATACATTGAAAGTATAACATCTTTTTTTTTTTTTTTTTTTAATTATGTTTTTATATCTTCCTGGAGTTCAGCTTTAAGCTTCCATTTTTGAACAGATGACAGACAAGACAGTCTTAAGTTATTGATTAATTATTAATTAGTTTCTTTTTTATGTTTTGTAGGATGTTGGCAAAAGATGAACTTGTGGCCACACTTCAAAAGTGTGTGGAAGTTTTAAAACCATATTCTGCAAAGCAACTTGGCAGCACTCTGAAAAAGCTGGAGGAGTTTCTGGTTCAATTCCAGTGTTCTGAAGGTAAATAAGTGGTGATGCATCCCACTCTACTGCCTGAAGTTTGAAACAAACACAAGTAGTGGATGTTTAGCCAGTGTCTACCCACAACTACCACTAGTTTTTTCTTATAGCTGTGTATACTAGACTACAAGGGGATTATGATTATGACATGTGAAGCACTTTGACAGGTAAAAAAAAAAAAAAAAGTATTGTATATCAAGTACAGTTTAGTGTGTTGTGAGGTGATGCATTAAGGTAAAAAACCTTCTGGGTCTAGCTCCTCCTAAGCCCCCTGTTATACTTACCTGAGCTCGATCTCTATCCTGCGATGTGCATGAGAGCTGCAACTCTCCCAGGTCTCTCGCCTCATTGGCTTACACAGCAGCGGGAGCCATAGGCTCCTGCTGCTGTCAGTTACATCCAGTGAGCCAATGGGGGGGGGGGGGGGGGGGTGCCACGTTCTTTGTGTGAATGGACAGTGTCCATTCACAGGAGCGTAGCTTGGCAGTGAACCTGCTTGAGTGCCCCCAGAGCAAAAGGTTTATTATTGGGGGCACTCGGTGGGGGACACAAAAAAGAAGATGATTAGGGCTGCTCAGTGCAAAACCATTGCACAAAGCAGGTAAGTATAACATGTTTGTTATAAATTTTTTTGTTTGATTATAACATTTAGAATCACTTTAACCACTTGCCACCCTAAGGATTTACCCCCCTTAATGACCAGGCCTCTTTTTGCTATTTGACGCTGCACTATTTCAACTGATAATGCAATGCTGTACCCAAATGAAATTTACGTCCTTTTTTCACACAAATAGAGCTTTCTTTCGGTGGTATTTAATCACCTGTGCGCTTTTTATTTTTTGAGCTATAAACAAAAAAAAAAACCCAAAAATTTTTAAGAAAAACAATATATTTTACTTTCGGCTATAAAAAATATATAGTAAACTCAAAGTTAGTCATAAATTTAGGCCAGAATGTATTCTGCTACATGTTTTTGGTAAAAAAAAAATCCCAATAAGTTTATAATTGCTTTGTGTGAAAGTTATAGCGTCTACAACTTATGGTATAGATACTGCAATTTACACCAATTTTTTGCTATACAGCGCTGCACTAATTTAGCTAACAATTATGCGGTCATGCAGTATGGTACATAAATCAAATCTACATCCTTTTTTTTTCTCACACAAATAGCGCTTTCTTTCAAAAACTTTTTTTTTTTTTTTTTTTTTACACAAAGTTTTCATTTAAATTATATATTTCTCACACAAGCCATGGGTATATGTGGAATTACACCCCAAAATACATTCTGCTACTTCTACCGAGTATGGGAATACCACATGTGTGAGACTTTTTGGGAGCCTAGCCACATACAGGAGCCTGAATTCCAATGACCGCTTTGAAAGCCTGAAGGTGCGTAACTTCCTCACTACCTATCAGTTTCAGAAGCCCTGAAATGCCAGGATAGCACCAAGCCCCCCCCCCCCCCCAAATGACCCCTTTTTGGAAAGTAGACACCCCAAGGAATTTAAAAAGCGGTATGGTGCGTATTTTGCAGATCTCATTTTTTCTTACAAGGTTTTGAAATATGAATAAAGAAAAGAAAAAATGTTTTTGTTTTCTTTCTTCATTTTCCAAACACTTGTGGCAACAAACGAGATCTGCAAAATAATCACCATGCTTCTTATCAATTTCCTTGGGGTTTCTTTCCAAAAAAGGAGTCATTTGGGGGGGTTTGGTGCTATCCTGGCATTTCAGGGCCTCCGAAACTGTGATAGGTAGTAAGAAGTGTAATGAGGAAATAAAGCCATTTAAAAGCCTGAAGGTGCTTACTGGATTTTGGAGTCCCATACTTTGCTAGACTGCCAAAAAGTCTCTCACATGTGGCACCCGCATACTCGGGAGAAGTAGCAGAATATATTTTGAGGAGTAATTCCACATATACCCATGGCATGTGTGAGCAATAATTTATTTAAGTGACAATTTTGTGAAAAAACAAAAATTTTTTTGTCATTTTCCAAAAACTTGTAGTAAAAAAATAAATTCTTCTATTGACTCAACATGCCTCTCAGCAAATAGTTTGGGGTGTCCACTTTCCAAAAAGGGGTCGTTTTGTGGGTGGGGGCCATTTTATGCCCAGCATTAGAAGTTTATGTCAAACATCATTCACTCTTCTAACCACCTGAAGACCAGGCCTTTTCTGACACTTTTTTTGTTCACATGAAAAAAAAATCTGTATTTTTTGCTAGGAAATTACTTTGAACCCCCAAACATTGTGAATAAAAATAATAGGTGCTTCAATTTTTTATGTCACATAGTGCTCACGCAGAGATTTTTCAAACGCAATTTTTTTTTTACTTTTTTAATGCACAAAAACACAATATATTGGCCAATTATTTGGTAAAATATAAAAGAAGATGGTATGCTGAGTAAATGGATACCAAACATGACATGCTTTAAAATTTGCGCATACATTTTTAATATCTATAGGCTGCACTTTAAAAGCCTTTACAAGCTACCATTTTAGCTTTACAGAGGAGGTCTAGTGCTAGAATTTATGCCCTTGAGCTGCCATTCACGGCGATACCTCACAGGCATGGTGCAACTGCTGTTTACATACCGGCACAGGGTCAACGCTCATGCACGCAGGTACGTGGGCGAGGGTACTTTTTTTTTTTTTTTAATATATATATATATATATATATATATATATATATATATGTTATTTCGATTTTTTACATTATTTTTACATTTCCCTTTTAATTTTTTTTTAAATCACTTTTCCAACTTACACATGGCGCTGTTTATATCCTGCGAAACTGAAGTGATGAAATGCTTGTGGCTTCCGATTTCTTAGACTATAGAGATGATTAGCACCATTTCGGTCTACAATCAGCTCTATGGTCTATGGTCAGCTGGCAGAAACCGCGGCTGCATTTTCAGGTTCCCCCGATGGCACGGGACTGCCCGAGAAGGCCATGGAAGGCAGCGGGGGGGGGGGGGACATCGTCTCCTGCAGCTTGTAAAAGCAATCCTTCAGCTAATTAGCCACTAGGATTGGTTTTACATGAAAGCCGGCTGAAAAAAAACGATACCAGGATGATGCCTGCAGCTGGTGTAACCATTCAAAGTCCACTGATGTACCAGTACATCGCTGGTCCTTGTTGGGTATATATGCTATGTTTTTTTTGTTTTTGTTTTTTTTGTATGCAGCCTGTGAGCTGAATGAAAAAAAAAAGAAATCTCTGCCAGAAAAATATACCGCCCTGCATCCACCCACTTCTAATGGTGGGCACACATTAGGTCACACTGTGCTACATGCGCCAGTTCCAAGATTGTACAAATGTCTAAATAGTGGCACGCTTGAATAAAAATTGTCCACTTATAAGTGGTACCCCATATGGAAAAAGGATGACACCAAGTCCCAAACTATCTTGCCACTATTCCCCATGTAGTCTGGACATCCAGGGGCTCCACATGACTATCTTTTCCCTTGTAAATCCGAAACTTATATGTATAGCCTGTTGCCCTCTCACAGGTCTTCTACATCTTGACCCCATATCTGGCACGCTTGCTGGGGAGAAATTGTTTGAATGCAAGGCGGCCAGAAAAATGAATGAGTGACTCATCAACGCAGATTTTTTTTTTTTGGGGAGTATAGACATCTGCAAATTTTTGGTTAAGGTGATTTACAGGGGGCCGAATTTTGTGGAGCTGGTCAAATTCAGGGTCACCCCGAGGATGACAAATGCATCAAACTCTCATATCTATGCCTGGCCATAGCAGCAGATATATATATATATATATATATATATATATATATATATATATATATATATATATATATATATATATATTATATATGTGATCCAGCACACAGGGGCCGCCCTATAGCAGTAAATGTACTATGGGGTGGTCATTAGCGGTTAAACACCATGACAACAGGTAAGATAATATTTTATTTTGTTTCCTAAAGCACCTTATAGAGTAACTACATTTTTTACTGGAGTCATATGGATGTATACATTATTTGGATAAAAACTAGGTAACCTGCCTGCATGTTTTTGGGCTTTTAAGGACACCTGAGTATCAGAGAGAAAAAAAAGAGAACATACAGACTACATTTAAATCCTGTAACTGGTAAGAAATGAACCTATCACCGCAAGTGCACAGTATGGGGCATATATATAAAGCAGTGAATCTGATATTCAGCAAACATTTTTTTTTTTAGGTAGATCTTCTAGGTCTTTTTATTTTGACTGTGATTGATTATTCATCAGAGGATGTTTGGTGAAATTCATATTTACTGCTTTATAAATAGACCCCCAAGTATTACTATTAGGAAATTATGAACAAGTATATACAGACTGCCTAGCTTTTTTGCGCCAGGGTGCCTAGAAAGTTTTGGTCATCATAGCCATTTTTAATCTGGACTGCAGCTCAACAATAGCCCAGTTTCCTAACGTTGACCCATTTGACATATGTCAAGCAACATTTAGGGATGAGCTTGGGTGTCCTCTGGACTTTTTCTTTTTTACTCCAATGAACTGGGTGCTAGATACTTCTGCCCTGTAGCCCACTTCTTTAGTTATATGACCTGTGGGCTGGATATGAGGCCGCAGCTCATTGGTGTAAAAAATTAGCGCAAGTTTGGGGTTCAGCTAGAAATGAGTTTGGAGGACGCCTGAGCTCATATCTAGCCATGCACATGGTGCTTTCCTTTGGATCTTACTGAAATCTAGGTAGCATGTGACAGCAGGTACTGGAGAAATAAATACAGCTTGACAGTAGGCAGTAAATAACTAAGTATATTTCAGAAACTAAACATGGATGTTAATGGAAATAACATGAGCAGTTGAAACAAATAAAGCCAGTCATTTTGCCACTGGAGTTATTGAAACCTACAGTACTTTGTATTTTGTTAAACAGAATACAAAATAGCTTCAGAGATCAAGGACACACCGTACACTTTATAGTCTGTCAGTGTAATGAGAATGAGACGGTCAGGGTAGCACAGAAGGGGG